CGAACTTACCAAGCCATTTACCCAACTGCAAACATCGCCTCGCAGGCGATGTGCCTGCACTGATTCAATGGAGAAGTAACTTTACCTGTTTATCAGTTCCCCCTTTAGTATTTCGAGACAATGTAGGGAGTGTATTTTTGTTCAGCTTCACATCACTCTTGATTCGAACAATCGTCCTCTATTTCGAGACAATGTAGGGGGTGTATTTTTGTTCAGTTTCACATCACTCTTCATTCGAACAGTCGTCCTCCTGGCGCAATTATTCATGTGAAGCCACACCAAGGGGGCGGAAGCACTGGATTCGAGTTTCGCTCTTGTTATAGCTCATCAGCACTGCATATTCAATGGCTGTGCCGGAGTCTGAACTCCGGCAGCTGATATGCGAGGCGAAGGTTTTACCACTATTCCACCAGCGCATGTGAATTCTCACGTCTAAACGGGCGAACGTGTTCGCACTTGAGCGATGTGATTGGTATGCCCGACGCATCATCGATACAATACACCTCCCGCAAAGCTCCCAACGTGGAGGGGGTCTATGTAACAGAACTGGGGGCCATTCCGGAATTACGCCGTAGTCTTAGCTACTGAAACGCTTCCATAGTAGTAACATAATAATCCTGTTCTAGACAGCTGAAAGCACTGCCAGCAATCGACCGCAAAATTCAAATTCTGAAAAAGATTAAGATAGCGAGCTGAGTAGCGTGATTCACCTGTTATTTTTGGCCCAGGCCAAGATCGCGTCTCATCTGGAATAACAAATTACCTGTATTCTGATTGGTTGTTTGGTTGAGGTTCCTGTCAAAATCCTGTCCATGATAAAGGAACGCACAATTCTGCCAGTCATTTTTGGAATGCAGATGAAAGGGATCAACGATACACATCTGTGCATTTTTCAATTAAATAAGAAGCGTAATATACGACCCTGTAGTCTTCTGTTTAGGGAAACAATCTGTCGAGGAGATAATGCGGGTGACGCGGATGCTTTCCGCAACTCGGTTCTTCTCCGGGAAACAAACCTCCCAAAACCGGAGGGGAGCCACTTTCTGGTTCCCGAAAAGAAATCTGTTCACTGTGCATCAGCCACCCAGATTTCCAAATGATTGTTATAGTGCATGGCTGAAGAAAAACCGTCCAGCTGTAGCACCCTTTCGGTGCCTAACCGCCATGCAACCGGAAGGTCGCACGGGAGCTGGGATATTGCCAGGTTGCCCGAGCCCAGACAAGTTAAGTCGAGAGGCAGGGGTCGGGTTCGAACTACGGACCTTCCAGTCACTAAGCTCGCGCTTTCACCGCTTCGGTCATCTCGCCCCATACCTGATGTTAGGAGGGATGCTGATACAGTGTCATCCAAATCAACGGGTTATTCTTGACTAAGCTATTTGGGTCTTCTGCTGCGATAGTGGCGCTACAGAATAAATCGCAATGAGATCAGGACATAGGAGGAGCTAACGCTCGGTATCTCCATTTTACCTGTTATCCTAATGATTGTAGTTGCTAAGAGCATGGATTTGGTTTTAATTTAGTCCTTTGGTTACTTAATAGACCACTCAAAGTTCACTATTTCGTAGTTACCTAGACGCAGTGGCTTCTAAGTGCACTTCGAAGTGCATCATATATCGCATCACATGGGCCGAACAAAAACTACGAGAGATCCTGCTATGTTCCATTAGCGTCTCCTGTCCAAACCAAATTGGTGTGCACATGAGTGTATTTCGCTAAAAACTATGAACTTTAACTGTTTGTGTCAGGATTACTTGCATACTTGTGGCAGTATCGTAAGTAGTATGCAAACAACGAAAATAAAATTGTGAAATGCAACCACAGAAAAGTTCAGCCTCACCATTTACTTTAGGATGAAAACAAAACTTTGTGATGGGGAACTTAGTTGTTTATCCGTCCCCAACTGTGAAAGGCAAGTGATGTAAAGAAAAATTTTTATCTGGGAGCCATTCGACCGATAGACATGGTGACTAGGTGCCTGACTAGAGGCCTGGAAAAACGTAAAGCGATACAATAGCACAATCTGACCTTCTGTCCTTCACTTGCATGTTTTTATACTACTCGATTATTTTTAAGCGACCTTTAGACAGTAGGGGTTTTGAACATCCAGAGATCTAAGGACGCATCTTGCCAGGGTGCGAAACATGAATAATAGGTAAGTAACGAATATTTTGCGAATTTGGCATCAGTAGTTGTCATCATGTTCCACACAAAATCACGCCACGTCTAGTACCCATCAAACATTGGATGTGTTTCCATCTCTAAATGTTGTTCGTATGTGCCACGAACGTGCCTATCATACTTAGTCGGCCAAAGCACATTGGACTTGAATGGATCTCCGAGCAGGAAGATAGATGCAGTATCCGCAGAAATGCGAAAGAAATAACAGATTCTGTGAATCGATTCCATTGGGCTGTTAAAAGGCGCTACTGGCCTCTTTTAAGTTGTATCATCCCTCCTCAAACTAGGTGAAACGGTATTCGAGAAATACACCCATTTGCAAATCAATTTGGTTTTCACGAGAGACTCAACTGAATATCTTGTTTATGATATTCTACAACTAAATGTGCGGCACTAAGGCCACCTCATGTTTCAGTTGGGACGATATTCAAGATATCGCAGTATATTTTCATAAAGGAAACTACTCACAAGGTTGCTGAAAACTCTTCGACAGCCCACGACCGAGAGATTCAGTTGAGTCTCTCGTGAGAACCGAATTGTTTTGCAAATGACTGTATTTCTCGAAAACAGCCTAATTTGTGTTCAAGTAGATTATAAAGTTGACGGAAACTTGGGGACTGTGCCTACCTGATGAGCTGCAAGAAGGGCGAAACCGGTCGTGGGCTGTCGAGGAGTTTTCAGCAACCTTGTGAATAGTTTCCTCTATGAAAATAAGTAAAACGGTGTTTATGGGGGGAGGCTGCCAGGATGGTACTTATGCCAGATGGGGAACCCGGTCGGAAAGATCATCCAGAAATACATCAATGTCTATAACATGTAGAAATTTACGACACTTTACGTCATCAAGGTTTGTCTCGACCTCAGTGAAGCGAGTTCAAGTACAACAAGCCCGTTTTCGCCTACTTTTTGTGAATAGGTAGAAAAACAAGTGTTCTTGGCGCAAAGCAGGTGGATAATGACCATAAGGAGAGCCTAATGCCTGATGATGTTTTGTACACAAGTGCAGTTTGATATCTGAAAGAATGACGGAGTGCAACTCTATTGATCGGTAGAAATGAACGAGGTAAACAGCTGATTTGTCCACTGCGTGCGCCGGTTAGTTTACTCGTCCAAATTTCATCGTGCATTGCAAACTTCACCATTGGATAGAAACCGTGAAAACGAACGAAGTACAGTTTTGAACTGTAAACCAAACGGTGTGTACTGGATGCCCGTAACTGTAAACGAGTGTTGGAATGTGTGATGACGGACTAGCGTAGGCACTTGGAAACAAATGGGCCAGTCCCACCGGCCACCTAAGAGCTTAGCGTGTCCTTTGGGGAGGCATGCAGCAACACTCACTCTCGAGACCACAGAGTAGCATGTGCCGATCGCTCTGAGAAGTATTCACCTCCTCACGTTTTCGAACGGAAGGTGTTGACATTAGATAGGCCACTGAATGAGTCGTGAATAGGTGGTGAGATGGCTCAGTGGTTGGAGCACGAATTCACTGAACGGACGTTCGGTGGTTCGAATCCAACCTGTCTAGGCTAAAGTAACCTGGCGGCATCTCAGCCTTCGTGCTTCCTTTGGGTGTCACGGTAGCTAGGCCCCGAAACGATGATACTAATGAATGACTCAGCCGTGAATACAGCTTGTTGACGTCTGTGCTATCATAGTTGACTGTTACTCGGACTGCGAAATGCCAAGAGAATTTAGGGGATGTGGGTGTCTACAATCACACACGGTAGGCTTAACTGTTCGGCAGTGAAGCATCGGTGTTGAACACTGATGTCATGCTGTCGATGATGATGATGATAACTTGAACCAATTATACAGTATACGAGCTGGAATACCTAGAAGTTCCACTAGTAGAATGTTATAATTGGAAAAGAGAACGCTAGGTGAACATGTTCCTATTGGTCGTTACAGGAACATACGGGATAAAATGAACCAATTATAGCAAGGCAGACTTGGGGGTAGGAATGTACACGGGAAGGATAATATAGCGCATAACTACTAAGGGGCGAGATGGCTCAAGTGGTCAGAGCGCGAATTTACTGACCGGAAGGTCCGTGGTTCGAACCTGATCTCTGCCTCTCGACTTCCCCTGTCTAGGCTTGGGCGACCTGGCAGTATCCCAGCCCTCTTGCAGCCTTCGGGTGGCATGGCAGCTAGGCACCGAAATGGTGCCACAGTTGAACAATTTCAAAATTTCAGCATAACTACCAATCTGGGGGTAATGTGAAAGGTTGGTCTGTTGTGTGCTGTCGCCAAACGAGACAATGAGCCAGTTCAGCTGGAGGAATTGGTCAAACCCCGTCTGTTGAAAAAGTTCGAGCATGAGAACACGCATGATAGTTTCGACAATCGCGATATTACTCAATCTGACCGCCTTCGAACGGTCTTATGGCACCTGGTGCAAGATTCGAAGTTGAATGCCCTGATCAACGACGTTCTCCATGTCGAATAGGTGGGCTAGAGTTGAAGTCTGGAATTCTTCTGTACCTCCTAGATCGATAGTCTTTAGTGCACTAAGTTAAGTGCCGTGCAGTTCGACGCGTAAAAGCGGTACGATATGCAAACTTGTGTCATAAACAACCAACCTACTGAATCCATCTACATCGAACCCTTCGACATAGAGACAGCTGGACGGATAACGATCGGAGGTAATGTAGTGTCATGGGATGCACGACCAGGCCACATCCGTCTTTGCCTATGCGTGTTAGTGTTTCGTCTTCGAATGTACCAGGGAAGACAATTTCTCGGTACGCAGCCACTAGCCATCGAGTGATCGTAATAAACGTTAACCCACAAATGAATATAGAAAAACACGGGCTGCTGAAGTCACTGTATGGATTCTGCCCACCACGGGATCGCAGAATACAACGCCAGGTATTCACAACTTATACGTGTGAGTAGAAAAAGAATCGTCATCAAAGTGAGAGGAGTCAAGTGAAACTGCGGTGCGCAAAAGGGAACGGGGATGAATAGACAAGGGACGACGAACAAGGCTATGTACTAATGTGGGTGTGCGCGCAGCACATCACAGCACATAATCCAGTTCATGTCGAACAAACGTGTTGTTATCGCTGTCTGGTATGCGAGGAAAGCCATAGACGAGACCGTCCTGTGCTCCGATGTAAATGGTGTTGTAAACTTTCCACATCATGTCGCGTACTTTCCGTGCAGGATGGAACAAACCCTTTGGAAATAACGAGAATGAATACATTGTTGATAACCATGAGATAACTGGCATGATATGGATAAGAAAAACAGAGGTCAATATCTAAAAGAAAGTTTAACATACTATCCAGCGGTATACCTCTGAAACAGCATTCAGTGTTCCTATAGGGAAGTTGTGCTAAAACATATCGTATCAGAAAACCATCGGTGTTATTTCAAGCTATTGCCAGTAGTTGTCGTGAAGGACGTTGACGAAGAATGCAGTTAACCCCCTTAACTTGTTCCTCTAAGCCTTGAATTGAAGAAAATTTTTAGCACTCGTGGGATTATCAGAATTTCTGCTAACTATCTAGAAAGGAGAGCTGAATTACACGAAAATGAATATGTCCAACGTTCGGAAAATTGGATGACTGTGGAGAGCAGGAGACAGAAATCAAGACAGAGGCCGGACCATTGTATCCAGAAATGAGGGTTGGGTTGACGGGGCAATTAGAGTCCACAGAGATGTTTCGACGCTGAATGTGTAGTGGTGCACATTTTTATACGAGGGCTATTGCCAAGTGCTGATGTTGGACGCCATTAATACTACGCTCGGTTGACAAAAGCACCGAACTTGTGTCAAAAACGGCTTAGCGACACAAAAATCCTAAATTTCTAACAAACATGAGTAAGCCTACACGGCGATCGAGAATCGAACACAAGGTCTAAACGCCCCAACAATATTAGTCAGTTTGGAACGCTGTAAATGAGAGTTAACTGGACAACCATCAGGCTCGTAAAACAGGTAGTTCCACTTCGTGTCTGAATGAGGAACATCAGAATCAGACACCTGATTATTTTAAGGAAACATTATGCTTGAGGCTTAACTGAGGGCCTCTAGTTCTTGGCTTCAATACAGACCGGTCCCAACAACTGATTCCGGAAGTGCTCCGTGCACCTAGAAAAACGCCTCCTGTTCTGAAGCGGATTATCACGAATAACCGAACCCCACGCCGACCGACAGTGCGGTAAGCCGATTACCATACTACAGGAGCGAAGCATCAATGTTAAGCGCTGATGTTACGCTGTCAGCGATGATGACTATCCATTCGAAGTCGACAACCGTCAGTAGCAATACGTCGAAGAATAGGAGTCAACTGCTCAAGTTCGGCGTTTGTCGCTCCGCTATTAAGACTCTAACATGACCCTGGGGTCATGTGGTCTGTCGTATACGAACAGATATGGCCTAGCCAATTGTCTCAAGTCACCGAATGTTCTGACCTGCACTGGTGGGTGAGTGTAAAATACCGTAGTGCTTTATGAAGAACGAAAGGTAGTGAGAAATGGAGTGAAATGGGAGATGTATCGAGTGAAGAAAACAAGCATTTTGGTAGCCAATGGTGGAGTATGAAAACAAACGGGGGACCATGAACTGGAAGATGCTTGGAATCGATTGAGAAAGGTTTAGTAGACAAGCAATAAATTTTCCAATTGTTTACCAAACTTATCTGAAACGATGAACCGTGAAGAGCTTGCAGTAAATGACAGAAAACACGTCACAGAAGGAGCCAGCACGTACCTGTAAAGTGTACTGTAGTATTTTGTTCGGACCCAAAGCAACACGAAGACCTTCAATGGCGAACATGAATGCTTGTACAACATGTGGGGAGGTTTCCAAGACGTTGGGCCACACAAGATTGAGTAAATGCACCAGAGCATCTTCGCACCCGAATCCGTAAACCCCAAGAGCCATATGCCCGACGGCAGTCATCGCAGTCTGACGGTGAACCAAGTCTCTGTAGAAGGGAAATTCCGATGGTTAGTGGCTCACTCACTACAGCAAAAAAAGTGCCTCGAAACTCTGCTTACCTGTCCATCAGAGCGTCTTCCAAGAGAGGTGTCACCGCATAGATGTAGTCCTTGCTCATTTCCCCGATATACTCAAACATAAATGCCAAAGACTTGAGTACACCATTCTGAACATTGAGTTCGGGAGTTCGATATTCGTTCATCAAACCTGGAAGCACTGTGAAGGGGCTACAAGTTTCTGCGACAATTGCGATGGCAACCGTAGTGCACACACGATTTTGTCGTTCTTGAACCTAAAAGGGAGAATTACAAACGTCCGCTCAGGTATCTGACAATCGTGAAGCGACAAACACAAACTATGGTTGTTTTCATGCGGGTCAGCGCCGAAGTTTGAGGAGAGTAACAGAAAAACGATACAAGCCCGGCGTGACACAAGTTGAGATCATGGCAAATAGGCTCTGCGATCAGATTACCTCAGGTCCCATCAAGGAGCTCACGACCGATACTTCGGAAACGCAGTTTATCACTGAACATCGGGCATTTGTGTTGGACGATTAATACAGGGCTACAAATCGACTTGTCTGGGTTACGTACTACGCACGCCTACTTATCTCATTCTAGTAGAAAGCACAAAGCGGTAGATGCGAGACAGAAGAACCGTGAATTCATAATAGTGACTGTTGATTTCATGCTGTACGAGTATGTTTACGTATGTGTGCGTGTGTTTGTTCCCATCTGACGAAATGTGCTACATGTGTTGTTCTAACTTTCGGTTCTCATCTATGTGGGACTAGAATAGTGCTTGATGCACACCAGTGTCACCACTTGTAAAACTTAGTATGGTTGTGCAGACCTAACACAACCTCAGAAAGCCTCGAGATTAGGGTTGTCCCTCATTGGGAAGCTCCACAGAGGGGGTGAAAATATCTACAATTGAATCGTGCACTAGTTCGAATGCTGGGGGCTAGATGGCTCAAGTGGCTAGAGTGCGAATTCACTGACTAGAAGGTCGGTGGTTCGAACCCGACCTCTGCCTCTCGATTTCTCCTGTCTAGGCTTGGGCAACCTAGTCCCAGTCCTCGTGCTTCCTTCGGGTTGCATGGCAGCTAGGCACCGAAAGGGTGTTAAAGCTGAACGCATGTTGCCCGATTGGGTGTGGAGATCTGAGCACTGCAGTAAACTGATGCAATAGGGATGTTAGGGATGCTTCCTTCGGGTGGCATGGCAGCTAGGCACCGAAAGGGTGTTAAAGCTGAACGCATGTTGCCCGATTGGGTGTGGAGATCTGAGCACTGCAGTAAACTGATGCAATAGGGATGTTAGGCTGGATTTATCACCTACAAAAAACTGCTTCATAAAAACGCTTGGCCTTTACTATTACTCACCTTCAAGTTGTTCAACAGGGTAGCCAGAACGTCATGAGGACCGATTGCCTTTGCGATGTATCCAAAAGTGTTAACGGTGGCGCGACGGATGGACTTTTTGTGTGCCTTCAGTAACTCAAGAAGCTCGAAACAAATTCTCATCCATTCACGCGAAGATACGTACTCAGATCCTCTATCCGCGATGCGACCCACGAGATCGATGCAGTTCTCCTCGACCTTCTCATGTCTGAAAACACAGATGGACAGAAGATAGCGAAGCAACCGGACAGTGCAATGTGTTCAGATAATGTTATGATTCCATCAAGCGCAAGATAGCCTTGATAAGTAGTTCAGCGGGACGTACCTGTTCTTCAGAATAGGAGTCAACCGTGGAAGCAATTCTTTGATCGGAGGCGTCATTTTAGTCATCCCGATCACATTGACGATCGCCTTCAAAGCACCAAGGATGCTTCCTAGCACTTCTGGGTACTCCTCACCCAGATACTCATAAAGGACCACACCAAGATGGCCCATAAGCTTTTCTTCTTGACAAACTTTCATCACACCAGCTATTCGGCTAATCAGATCAGCTGCTTGTTGCCGGACTTTGGCCGACTTGTTGTTCAAGCGCCACAGAATAGTACCGCAAATCTGAGGAAGATAGGGCTTCACACGTTTCCCAAGGGTCTGCACTATTGTACCAAAGCCAGTCAGCATGACGACATCCTGTTGGGAATTCACACAAAAATGGGAAGTATGGTCAAAATATTTCGATGCGATGAAAATGTGTATCTACCCAACTCTTCACCTATGATAACACAAGCGAACAGAATTTGGTAAAGGACCGGGCAATAGCTACGTGTCCCATGGAAGAGATAAGTTAGCGACCACCATATTCGTAGGTTTCATTACTGATCACACCTAGTATAGGAGCCCCAACTAGTGACTGCTGCTCAAGTAGACATAAGAAATACGGAGATCTGTCACGCGGAGCATCCACTGTAATGGTCACCATTTTACAAGCTCAAGGCTGACTATGCAGCGTGAACTACCAACAATCGTTGATCAGGACGAAATCACTTTCCAGAGCACACTCCTGAATACGGGAAACATATCGTTCTGTTACCCCAAGTAGTTTAGTTCCATGACTTACCACAACTAGTAACCGATTCTTGTTATGGACTGGAATATTAGCAGTCCATACACTAGGATTACAACGGATGTTCACAGCAAATAACTCGGTCCAGCTAAATTTGGGAGGATAGACCCGAGTAGCTTACTGTCGTATCCCAACTACTGGAACTGGTAGTCTGAAAAATTCCGTTATTTCTGCTAACAATATCGCAGGTGAATTGGGTGAATTGTTACGCCTCAGCTCAAACATTGATAGCGTCGTGCTACTAGCCTGTCGACAAGGGGCTCTGTCGTGGCACCTTTTCGGTGTCTAGTTGCCATGCCACCCGTAGGAGGCATGAGTGTCGAGATATTGCAGTTGAGGTGCAGAGGTCTGGTTCGTACCAGGGATATTCTGGTCAATAAGTTCTCGGCTTAGCCAGTGAACCATCTCGGGCTCACTCAGCAAGGGACAATGTACCCGTTGCTGTATGAACAGGACCAGAGGATGGATAACCACACGCCATAAGTCAGCAATGCCTGCACAGCGCTGCACGTATGGCAGGAGCATCGTAGTTCATCATCATCGACAGCATGACATCAGTGTTCAACACCGATGCTTCACGGCCGTACAACCATCGTAGTTGCACTATTGACGTGTACTTGACAAAATGTCCGTGGGTGCTCGAGTTCATACAACTATACCAAATAAGACCTGGAGTCTTTACCTAGACCGGTATACCATAACTTAAAAGCTCCAGGTTTATGCGAACCGTCTGTCTCAAACTCATCCAATCGGTGTTTGGAGACATTCAGATACACGACCAAATAGGTGCCGTTGTATCGTCTTCTGAACCAAGAGTGTCACTATATGTTTCAAGATTGTGAAGGGACTGGAACTTCACCGTGCTGCACTGGGATCAGGTTCACATGTACACAAATCACGTGGTTTCCGAGCAAAATCTGGGTAAAGTTTCGTTTTCACTTTTAACGACGCTACCGTGGATTCAGTAATAAGAACAGAAGGGCTTGATAAACGATCGGTAACAACCTCCCGGTGTGTAACTACCACGCTAACTGAAGGGAGCCCGGCTGTTCAAGTCTAGATTGGAACAGTTGAGATGCCGTTGTCCGGTTCGGACAATAAACTTCCTGGTCAGTAGGCCTCAACCATTGAACTATTTCGAGCTCATGGGAGTTATTTTCGACCTTTTGCTCACGTGGAATTCCAGAGGAACAGTGGTGATTAATGTTTAACCAAATGTATACGCTGCACTGCTTTACTACCTAGAGGTCTTCCTATGTTAATTCCAGTCCAAGTACCAGGGAATCTAGTGGATTCTGGAACTGCTACACACTATCTTTAAAAAAAAACGAGATAACAAAACGGTCAACGGTGCCAAATTCGGACGGTTACAAGAGGACGCGTGCTATGGAAGCTAAAACGATAACGGGATGCAAGATTTGTGACTGGACGAAACTTTGCATATATTTGGTAGGATTATGATTGGAAAGAAAACTGAAAAACTAGCTAGGTACTATTATTGTCGTCGTGTGGGTGCCTGGTTTGATTTTAAAACGTTTTGTCATAGACATCGGAAATTATTTTTGTAGTATTTGACTGGGGCGACGCTTACACCGCTTCATGTAAGGAATAATGAAAAATGGACTGACTCTCAACAAGACAAAACCGAAAGAACGGAAAAGTGGAATTCGGCGGTTCGCAGGGCAGCAAGATCAGTCCGAGCAGCGCAATCGACCTTCTCCGAGTCCAGCGATGGAAAAATCAGGTTCAGTGCGAACAAGGTCCACCAAAAGCGTTGAATACAAGTATGGATGAACATACCTTTGGATGGAAGCGAATCCCCCCTTCGAATGTCTGGTGACAATGTGGGAGCCTCAAAAAGGTGAGAAATGCTACGTATTAGAAATCGCCAAAGTCGGTGACTACCTGCCTTAGAAAAATACCATTGTGTTAGCATACACAGAGATAAGACCTGAGGCCCGACGCGTGGGAGTGTATAGTACAGCTGTCTCAGACTAACGCCGGCAACGTGTCACTGTATTCTGGCACCAATTTTTACGTCTATACAGATCATTGTCTTCCTGCCTGATTTGCACGCAGTTGCACTAGCCGGGTGGCACTTCGGAATAATAGTACTGCATGCCGCAAGTAGACTAACGGCTAAAGCCTAAATCGAGATCGGACTACGAAACACGTTTCTTCTTGACTGAGACCATCGATGACAGGCGGCCCGGTGTACCAAGCCCCTGATCGAGTGCATGGACGGTAAGGCATCAGGGTCAATGCTAGTGATGCTGAACTGATTACAACAGTATTTTACGTCTTTTCGTATCTTAATGGTACAGCACGGTTCATGAGTAAATTAAAGGAGGTCGACATTCAACAAAGCAATACAAAGTTTGCTTCACTGTACCAGGTACCGACAATAGCATGCACCTTGTAAATAACCAGGTTCCCACACTGGTATTATTATTCCTAATGATGGCTTGAGATGCAGAAAGTATCTGAAGTTATCTGATCAAAGCTTACTTATCAACTTTACGGTGGTTGGTCCCAGCCTGAGAATCAACGAACTTTAGGGAAGCACAGACCGGGACATCTAGATCAGGTTCAGAATCCCCTGTTCTAGAATATATTAAATCTGGTTTATTAGGCTGTGAAGTTGAGGACATACTTCCTTGATACTAGCAGGTTCACGCTTTTGTAGTTATCACCAATAGATAACCTTTTCCAGGCATCAAGGCGCAAGTAGTACTTAGTTGGTTCTTGGGACTTAGATCTATGAGCAGGAGTAGGAAGGCGGACTCAAAACATCCAGACGGGGTCCTTCAAGGGACGCTACAATAAGACTACGGTAATGATGCACTGTCTAACGCGGATAGGTTCTACACTACGGTTGCTGGTTGCCACGGTGACAGTCACGTGAGCCTCAAGTTAGGAGGGTGCAAACTATGCACCGGTCCGAAGGGTATGACATGGATAACTGCGGGAAATAAGTATGGAAAAGTTGACCAGGTTACAAGGCCCTAAACATAACTGGTGCCATAGGAAAATCAATAAAACATTAAGGATGAATCCGGGAGCCTGTCAAGCGAAATCCGATTGTTCACATACGCAGAAGACCAGGGAGGGAAAAACCTGAAAGAAGCACGAATGTCCAAGATTAACTATCCGTTAAACATTAGGGTGGTTGAAGTTAGACTGCTCATCCTGTTGGTGTGTATCTAAAAGATAATTTGGAGGTGTCATTTGATCGAGTAATGATCACTTACCGCGGCAGGATCCGCCCTGCGTTAGCCACGTGACTCGTGGCATACAAAGAAACGATAGAGGCGGTGGAGATCACGAGGAAGATACGTACGATGTTCGTACATACACAAACGCGAGCAGAAAAAAGGTCAATGACCCACAAATAGCTCACCTCAGTACTTTGTTCCTGAAACGCATAGAGGATCCCATCGATCAATTGCTCCTCCAGACGAGCGTCAATCTCAGCGCTACCTAAAGCAGACATAACTTTCTCAATGGTCTCCATTACCATCTTCCGGTACTGCTCTGACTCATCTTTAAGGTCATCTACTATGCGTGAGATGATGTCAGCAGCACCGACCTTATTGGCAATCTCGACAGTGGTATCAACCAACTACAAAAAAAGGAAGAATGGATCTATCAGCAAGGTGAAAAACGGTTTGATTATCTGTATGTGCATGGACTTGCTAAAAAGGTAACAAGGTAAAATTGACAAACCGGGAACAACTGAGACTTATCGAACCGGACACACGGTGAGCCCATATAAAATATCCAGAGTTCGTAGAATATAGGAATAGAGACCGCGACACGCTCATTGTTTTCATTCAATTCTTCAGTACTGGGTCACACGGCCACGTGCCCTAACTGACCTCACTCTTGTGTGTTTTGATTATAACACATAACATATAATGAATTTTGTTCTTTGGCACACGTTTGATGCCCATGCATCCAAGGACCGTCGAATCCAGCGGTCCGGTACAAGACACAAGATCTGTGCGACTCCACCGTTAGCGGGTGGACAGGTAGAAATCAGCTTGGGATGGAGGTAAAAGCCTAGATATTGCACTCATAACTTGTTATCATGACACCGGCAACTAACAGTACTGTCATACAACAATGATACAACCATAACCTGCTCTACTGCATGTGAAAGCCTTATTCGACAGCTAACTAGCGCAGCTAACTATAATAACCGTAATAAATCTGGAGTGGGTATGTGGTTCGGCAGTGTCATCGACCAGGAGGTAGGCTAGAACAAAGTACACACCTGACGATAATTCCGGCGATCCAAAGCCATACGTTGTGTCCAGAAAGAGCGGAAAAATGGTGGTAGAATTTCTGCCTTGATGTAATCCGGTTCCACACCATCAGTGGCACAACACTGCTTCACTACCTTAAGCACAATCTTCTTCATCTCTTCGTCCGGGGAAAGAAACTCACGAATAAGGATCAACATGACTTCACGAGTATAGTAGTTTGCGTATTCGGCATCCATCAGCGGAATGAGGTAACCAATAGCCTTCAAGAAGGCAGCTAAGCCCTGGAAAACAAAAAAAGAGCGCAATAAGACTTGAAAACACCATACTACACAAACTTGTTAGCGTTTGTGCGATGAATCAGTAAGGAACGTGACCAGCTAGAGTGTTGAGTCCACTCAATCAATTCAGCTTTTCAGATACGAACAATGTACCGGATTAGTGGCTACAGCTGCTATACCTTCGTTCACTGAGGATAAGGGGAATAGGAAATGGAGGTCACACGTTGGAGGTGATGACCGAATCAGTCCATTGACGTTAAGTGGTTGTCTGTCTGACATGACATGGAATGAGGGAGCTACGCAGTGAAGGCGATAGTTTGGATGTGGGATCACCACTGGTTGTGATATAGCCAATATGTCAGGGTCACTAGCCATCGGTTTGTCCCGTCCTGCGGACCCCATCCAGAGAAATGGCAGTTGCCATAGCGACTGAGCTGACTTATAGGGACTTTCATGCCTCTCGCCAAGTCAATAACATGACCGTCCCTGTGTTGTCATTATTCTTTACATAACTGGACGAAGGGTGCTCTAGGGGGCAAATAGTCCTACGGCTTCTTTAATTTAAACATAAAAACTCAAGAATATTCGGAGAAAAGCACCACTACACCGGGAATATGGTTTGATAGCAGGATAAGGACTCACTTTACCACGATGAGTACGAATACCACGCCATAGAGGTTCCAGCACAGAGTCGAAGGATTCGATACCATAAGGCGTTGCAGCCTCCGCCAAGGCGGCCAGAGCAAGAGCAGTTATAGTCCTGACCTTCTGTTGCTCGTCCACCAAACCATGTTCGATAATTTCAACCAAACTTCGCAGATGAGGTAAAATTGCACAACCCATGAGAATTGCTATTTGTTGAACAATCTTGATTCCGGTGTGTCTGGCTTGCCATGACTTCTTTGACTTACAAACAGCCTAATTTGAAAGAAAATAACAAGAGTTAGGCATTGGAGATTGTAAAAGGAGCAAAACTGGCATTCAACAGTCGATAGGAAGCTATATTGCGTCGATGAGTTGTTAACCACAATCCCGAAGTTCACCTGACCATCAAGTCTTACACGTTATTCCTTTGGTTGATCACGAAGTCTTAGGGAGAATGCTTCGCTGAAGAGCGAGGGTTAGGTGGAGGGAAGGACGTTATAAACTCCACTGGAATTCGATGGCTTATGTTTCAAACAAAGACGCTTTAATTGTTCCCATATATTGATCGACCGCATATAATCCTTTGATTCCCTCACATCGAATGATTTGGGACTAAGTTACCTGCGTTGCACAGAGATGACGTTTCACCACCCCTTAGAGAAAGAGCACTGGTGAAGTACCTGATAAACAAAGGCGTTATAATACACAGTGGAGGAAAATAGACACTGATTTAATAGCTGATTGCTTTACACACGTATCCTACTGACTGAAACGGTCTCCTTATTACCTTTAAAAATGGCAGCAGACTGGGAATCCCGAGGGCAGATGCCACAACTGCGAAGGCCCGAGCGGTGGTATTTCGTACGTACTCGTCCATATTGTCAATATCCGGGCGCATTGTGGAAATCATGGTGGCGAGACCAGCAGCCTGTGTCAAAATTAAAAAAAACGGACTGATTGGTCACATTTGCCGACATAGGACAGATTGCAGTAAGTGCGAAAAGAAATACCTATCCATGAGTGGATTGATTCACTGCCAGCAGATAGCGAAACCATAGGTGGTTATAGTATTCGAAATGAAGATTACGTAACGGACTGTGGAAAAAGTTGGTGGAAAGGCTATGCTTTCAAAGGAAAAAGGTTACAGAACTGGTTATATGGTCCTCACAAAACGGATTTAAGATAATCTGCTGGGTCTACGATTGATGGCCCAGTTCCGAAGGCACTTGTATCATTTCGAGTGCATTGCTGCGTAACCTGAGTTCCTGACAAATTCATATGATATGACTTCGCCCACATTTCAATGAGAAATAACGGACAAACCCGTTTCTCACATAGCCTCTGGATGTGACAAAGCCAGGTGACGTGCAGTAAAGCAGAGCAAGATATACTTCAGGATGAAATGACATAATCAAGTTGGATGGGGTTAAACCATCCAATGCTTCATTCGATCCCTGTGCAGTGTGTTGGATATTGAGGATAGACGTCGTAAGCATCCCTGAATGACCGGAATTTACCACGCTTTCACTTTCCGACAGCGAAATGCGAACACAGTAATACATGTTGAACTAAAACCTGCCTTAGTGCCAGAACATGGTATAGGAGTGAATTCAACGAAGTTAGAGAAAGTTGGAAGCCCTGTGAACTCCACGTATCTCTTGGGCGAGAACAGTGCCGCTGGAGAGCAGCCTATGCTCTTAGCCTGATGAAACATTACAGAAAAGTTCAGATATATGTGAAAACAACAAAGCAGCCTAGCTCAACTCACCTTGGCAAGATTGGAAATGATTTCACGTCCTTCCACGCGAGCATAGTAGTCTTCGTCAATCAACAAGGGTTCAATAACAACTAGGATTTTGTGCACGTACGGTCGCACCAAGTCATCTAATTTGTATAAAATCCTGTCGATAACCTGGGTTAACAGAGAGAATACAAGCGTCTCAGTGAAACAGCAAAACTTATAAATTGGGTCAAACAGAATCCACGAACATAGATGGTCATAAGTGGCTATGCAAAACCAATGCTTGACTAACAAAAAAAGCGATCATGACGATCAACACTTACACGAGGTGCATCATCCAATGCTGGGATATACGATATGCATCCATCTACAATTCCTGTGATTTTGTTATTATTGCCATTACCAACACTAATATCACTACTTTATTAGACCTTTATTATGGTTAACAAGTAGGGGCTCTCTATTGAAGATCTCTTTGAAGGATGGAAACGACTGAGCACAGATAAATACAACACAGTGAAATACACAGCAGTGAGAGAGCCACGCACTTGAAATATGGTTACATTAGAAAGTGCTAAGAAATTAAATGAGAACAAAGAGGAACGCTCTCCGCGGTCATGTGAGCCTTTGACTTAGTAGCGGACTCCACAAGCGAATAGGCCGGTTGCACGAGTAGACGACTCAAAAAGTGAGAATCGGCAAGTCAACTAGAAGGGCCTGTTTGGAAGAGGAAGAGAAACCGAAGTGCGGGTCTCAATTACCTTCATGTGAAATGACTAGGATTTTGAAAGATGGTAAAGTGGCGCGAATTCTAACCAACACATCGTCGAATGTAGTTTTATTATGCACTAGTTAAACGAACCTTGACAAGCAAATGACGCTCTTGATCCTCCAGGGTCGGAGACATCAAAAGCGGTAGGATCTGTTTGAATAGGGGTCCGGCTCCGAACTCCCTCGCTTTGTCGGTAATCTGTCTGAGAGCCGATTTGCGCATTGGAGGGGTACCATTCTTTATCTTGAGCAGGAACGTCATTATCTTGCGTTCTTTGGCCTCTTCAGGTGGGAGACTGTCTTCATCGACATCCTGAAGCCAAAGGAAAGATAAGCTGCAATTCATCAAGGTGGATATAGCATTGTACACGGTTGCGATCACATGGGTTGGAATGAAAAGGTGATGAAACGATAAAAAACCGTGGTCTACGCCTAAAACTACAAGTGATGATAGCGGGTGTTAATATGGCTACAAAAGCAGAATCTCACTTGTAACAGTTTGTCAAAGTATTGCAAATCATCTGGGCGCATCATTGGTAAGTTGGCACCCTTAGGTTGCATGTCACCCAAAGCAGCCGCATTAGCCCCGGTGGCGTTCATGCCAAGACCGGCAGCAGTTCCGATGTCCGGAGTGGCTATGCGGAAACCCATCGGAGTACCGACCATCGGTGTGGGCGTCGCGACAAGGCGATGAGCAGGTGTTCTGATAGGCACGTATCCAGCAGGCGGAGGCATAATTTTGTAACCTGAACAGGCGGAAAGGACACATCTCAAGACATATTTACAGCATACAGGTGCCCAGAACTTACCATCAGAAGACAATTAACCTCTGATTGGTTATTTCACAAAGTGATAAAGAATAACTGACAGACTTGTCAGCACTTAACAATAAAACCCTCTTTCACCATAGATAGCTACGGATGCTTTAGAAACGAACAAGCTTTGGCACCTTATCGGTGTAAACTCCATGCAATATGAAGGGTGGGGAGACATGTGCTAGCATCCAACTCTAGGCAGGAACAATCAAGTCGAGGGTGGATTCGAACGCCACGGTCAGTGACTAAGACAGTAAGCCGTGAGCTATCTAAAACTGTTGCAGTATACCAGCCGGACTGAAGCCGACCGCACTGATAGAGCGCATAAAGAAGATCCCGCACACAAGCGATATAAGCATAAAGTCTAAAAAATGTTATACGTGAGGCAGATTCCATAAGGGAATTTCAGTTCACAGAGCGGTTATGTTAGGAAGCACAAGAAGTGGGGCACCATCATGCTGCCCAAACCTGGGTCTTCAAGGTTTTATGAAACGAACGAGGAAGCAAGAAGCAGGACCCATGTGGAACACGGCCCGACAGTCATTGACTCTTAATGCAGTAACTTCCACTCACATGACGGCGGATGTATCTGGATCACTATTCATCGTGTGCACGAGGCTCCTTGCTTGCGATGTTTTTGGACACCAGGTAGGGCACACTGTCGCCATATAGACATTCGTTACCACAATGCTCCAGGAGACTACTACCAGGGACCGCTGAAGCGTCTTCCAATTTTCAACACCGATGTCTCACGTGTTCCCGATACCGGATGGCGTCAACGAATTCCTAACGAGGTAATTGCGGGAAAGGTGTTTAACTGCAGCATCCTTTCGGTGCCTAACTGCCATGCTACCCGAAGCACGAAGGCCGGGAGGCTACCAGGTTGCCCAAGCTGTTAGGCAGGAATCCTAACAGGAATCCTAACACGGATCCCGCTATACCGCACGTCTTTAGGCACTGCTACGGCCGATAAGCCTGGCCCGCACGAGATTGGCCCAGAATTCGGGATGCTTGCCGGTCCGGCATCAACAAGATATCTGATTGGTCAACAATCTGGACCCAGCGGCCAATCATGACCCAGTATTCGCCAAATGCCGGTTGCCAAAGGCGCATCCAGAACGCGTCAGAACTTCCAGGTTATAACCGCTTACGCTATATATACGAAGCGCTGTACAACTGTTCTTGACTTCGTTTTGGGCATTAATAGACCTTGTGCACCTTTGGTGGTTGTTTTGACGTGAACGCTAGCTTGGGAGGCTCAGACCGAGAACTAAGCTGAGGAAACTACCGTTACTACACAAGCCTAGGCAGGGGGAGTCGATAAACAGAAGTCGCGTTCGAATCGCGGACCCTCCGGTCAGTAAATTCGTGCTCTAACCACTGAGCCATCTCGCCCCCAAGGTATTTGTTCAGGCAACAGGTACTTCGATAGCGGAAAATAGCCAACACCACTGACTGTGACTCGACCATGTGTTGCGCATGTCGAAACAGGGTTTACCGAGACCATCGTTGTTGGTCTATGCCTCCTTACAAAAAACAGGCTGCGAGTTGGACGTATGAGATGACAGAAGGACACCAAGGAGATTACAGAGTCCATGTGCTGTTAATGCGGCCCACCTTCCAAGATGGAGGGCTCCATGACCACCTGAGACTGACTGGAGACATTGCAAGTGGCGGCTGATCGATGCCAGTAGCGTTCGTACCGTCAGTTTTATTCCAGATCGTCTGATTGAAGCCTTTGGAGGTGTAGACACTTTAGAATGCATGCGACAGGCCAGTGCCAGGTCCCCTCCCTCATCCAATATCTTTCTCTTCTTTTCATTCTAATACCCTAAACTGAATTAGGTAAACTTTGAGGTTGTACGGTAATTAAGTGTCAAGGTTCACACACATGCAGTCTCATATTAAGATGGCGACTCGAGTTATTTCCATTGAAACCCTAGCCACCCAGTATCCAGTGCCATCCTTAGCGTTGGTATAACAGGCCTTAATTTTCTTCGGCCAGGCAATGTTGCCGAATGTCCAGTTTACCTGAATTTTGGTGTCTTGACCCACATTCAGACGGACAAAATAGTGATGACAATAATAGTAGTAGTAACAACAATCTTTTAGCTGAAAAACTTCCAGTGTTTAGCTACGACGCCGTCCGAAGGAAGCACGACATTAGTGAATAAGATGGTCCCAGCTGTACTCATGCGTGATTGCGGTGAGCAGTGGTGAACGGTGTCTGCGAAGTGAAGGGTCAGACTTGCCGTCTGATGGTGTGGACACTGCCCACAGATTATGATTGTGGAACTCGTCATTTGACACCGGTATGTGCAACTACAACTAAAATCAACAGGATTTTGGATAAGCCAATCAGAATGATCTACTGAGACTTGATTTAGCTCTGCAGAATCGCATTAGGCTGCTCGCCAAAGCTGTCACGAAGAGAGTGGACCTTACAACTATGTGAATCCATGCACCTCCACAACCCAGTGAGTAATACGCGTGACACGGAGCTGCTTATATCAGGTTGATCGTAAGGTTAAGGTGAAAGCGAACTCCAGTTAGTTAAGGCCAGAATCCTAGTAGGATAACGCGGCGAGGAAATCTTATAAAAACTAATGCGAAAAATTACCAAAGTGCAGAGGAAAAGCCGCTGTTTTGAATTGCAAGAGTAAAGAACGTCGATAAACGCTAGAAGAAATTCAATAGGAAAGCCGTTCTCAAAATGATCCACAGTTAAGGAAGTGCCGTATATTTACTGAACGCAGTGATTTTCAGCAACAATAACGCCAGCGGCGTCCGAATTCCACGTGCCAACGGCCAGAATGCATGCAAGTTTTCAGCAAATACTCGCAACGTATAGAACGTACCTGGAGGTAGCATCTCATCCAGCTCCTCGTCAGTTAGGGGCCTGTTACGTTCATCTATTTCCTTCTGCCAAGCGTAGACCTGCAACTGTTCAGGAGTCATCGGTATACCTGCGCCCGGAAGTGGCATAGAACCAAAACTGGGAGTAGCCATTCCCATAGCACGAGGACCGGTGGGAGTGGTTCCGGAAGGTGTGAAAATATTAGAAGCGCCTGGACCGCTGGGAGTTGCACCTGGAGTTCCAGCCACACTTGCCACACCGGATGGTGTGAAGGCGATTGGTGTCTAAAAGAGATTGGGTTTTCGATTAGGTTAGGTGTTCCCGCACATATCTTGAACAAGAGACTACAAACGACTAAGCAACACCTTTGAATCACACTGTGGGCGATAAAAGCAATTTTTTTAGAGCCACTGATCCCGCCCTTGCTGACTTAAACATGGAAAGACATACTCCAATCTGTGTGACAAAGCCTGTCTGGAAACATCACAAACGAGAGATTCAGTTGGGTTTCAGGTGAGTCCCTTGCAAAGCCAAATTTGCATGAAAATAGTGTATTTCGCTAGGTTTGTCTGTGTTTCTAAAAGTGACCGAATCCCACAAACTACTGGGTTTCCGATACAAGGACCACCAGTACAGGTAGTCGCCATGATGAAACGAATCACAAATTCCTCAAACAGATCACTTGTAGACTTTGCATTAGCCATTCGATTGATCTTAATCACCCACACGAGGCGTTTGGTTTCACGGTGTTAAAAAAAACTCAACACTATCCACGGAAGAGGTCTCTTTTCATGGTCAAACATTCCTGTCCGTTACGGCATTGAGTAGGGTCCTCGTCGAAGAGAAAATACACCTCGAAATAGGCCTACGTGTCATACTGCCCCGTTAGGAGCACGGTGACTCCATTCTCTCTAATGATAAATCACTCAACTGTAATACCCTTTCGGCGGCTAGCTGCCATGCCATCTGAAGAAAGCGCGAGGGTTGAGATGTTGCCAGGTTTCCAGAAAAACTAGACAGAATCGAGATGCCTGGGCTGGGTTCGAAACACATATTTTCCGGTTAGTAAGTTCGCGCGTTACCACCTAGTTATCTCGAGCTCATTCTGACTAACAATCAGGGCGTCTCCAAACGAGATGACATATTTTAAACGAGCACACATTTTTCGTCTCTTCTGAAAGTACAGATGCAAGGAAATTTCAGAAGTTTGCGCATGACTAACCGGAAAAAACCTGAACTTATCTCGATCGATCTCATGGACAGCTGAATCCCTAATGAGTAACTCTTGCAAAGGTTCGGAAACCACATTAGGCGACGCACCATTGGATGGCAGACAGTAGACGCACCACAATTCAAAAAGGAACCGGATGGCCAATATCCCCCTCGATAAAACCTATCCATGCTGCATCAGTCACGCTCAAGAACTAAATAATACTCGCATCATGCAGCCGTGTGCGCATTCAATAGTACAGATCAGCGTTGCCTCAAGAATGTCCACATTTCAGTTCTTTCAAAAGCATTTTTTTCCGTTGTACTAATGCTGTTGATGCAGATAGTGGCGCCTTCCGTTGGAGTGACCTGCAGTTTTACTAATGTTAATCATTCCATCAAGGCCATGTCCTTTTAATCGATTACTGTAATAAGTTAGTAAAATAAGTTACCCGAAAGCGACAAATGGCCCATTGTTTACTTGTCGTCGACCGAATAAGTTCGATTCAACGCCCTAGTTTACCCGGCTTCTGGTTGTAAATAAATGGGAATTGTTGGAGTTCAACGACTTGAAGATCCAAAGCAGCGAGCATGACGGGATCACTCAGAAATGGATACCGTTTGCATGCATGTCCAATTTGAATTGAGTATTTTCAGCTTTTTCTCCTATGAACCGTTCAGCGAGGATAATTTTAAGAGTAGCTTGGTCTGTGCATGTTAGGCGTAAGTTTAGGGTCCACACCAAGGACGTTTCAAAACCAACACATATTTTTTAATATACCGGGTTCACCACATGCAGCAAGAATTGAACTGTTCAGCGATGATAATTTTAAGAGTAGTTTGGTCTGTGCATGTTAAGTGTAAGTTTAGGGTCCACACCAAGGACGTTGCAAAACCTACACATATTTTGTCATATACCGGGTTCACCACATGCAGCAAGAAGTAACTTACGTGTGAAGGTGTACCACCAGGAGTGGCACCGGCTTTCAGTGGTGTTTCATCCCAACGGGAGCGTCGTTTGACGGCAACCGCAGCTGCCGTCGCTGCAGACATTGGGGTGGCGCTAGGTCCATACATAACGGAGGACGGTGTATCCTGAATGGATTCAACACCCCCGGGTGTTCTGTCCGCTCGAGGAGTCTCCGCCCATCCAGCTCCGTGCGCCGGAGTGTCTGCACCGTATCGCTCAGTTCGTGGTGTTTCATCCCAGCGGTTCCGTCTTGCACTAGGAGTGCCCTAAAACGGAGTTGGAACAAGAGATCTACAGCAAACTGACGTTGCGACGCATCATCAGCCGATACATTGGCTTGAAAAGTGTGATTTCCGAGCCGCTTTCCGAAAACGAATAGCCTAACTAATGGCAAAATTATAGGTATAATCATCTCTGAAAAAGCTTCTACCGAATTTGGGGGCTCTAGGACTAACTCCAAAGACAGTTGAGGTACTTTTTTTGTCAAAAACCCCAAGTTCGGGATTTTTATGCGGTTATGAGTCTGTTTTCAAAATCACAGTATTACCACAAATTAAGTTGTCATTACTGATAAACGTGTGTGGTACTTGATTGGGATGCGGAGGAAAGTCCATTGATGGCTGAACAAGTCTAAAGTTAACATAAATCAATATGGCTACACCATTGGAGATGCAAAACATGGTAGACTTACCCCTAAGGCACCGCCTGTGGGCATATCTCTACCAGGAGTGGCAGTACCGGACAGATATGCAGGAGTTTCAGCCCACTGCCTGACACTTTGGCCGGGGGTTGCCGCAGCATCCTTAGGACGGCCTGGGGTCTCTTCCCATTGAGAGCGACTGCCAGGTGTAGCAGCGTTACTGGGTGTCGCCGATGGCCTTGAAGGTGTGACCGAGTCATCTCCCCAGCGTTTCGACGGCGTGGTAGCACTCGGTGTGCTAGCGAGGTCCGACTTAGCCTCTCCGTTTACGTCTGTAGACGACTGATCCCAACGACGCCGTTTTGTTGGAATTGTGTCAGCTACCATCGTTAATTGTCCAGACTTGCTTCTTTCTGCTATTTCTGCTTGTAGAAGTCGCTGTTCCTTATTCAGTTGCTGATTGAGCATAATGTCCTTATAAGTAGTGAGACGATGATCCGGGGTCTGATCACCTGTGGAACAGATAGAGACAGAAAAATTCTAAGTGCTTTGCAGACAGGTGCGTTTAAAAGTCACTAACGTTGGAAATCCAAGCGCAAGAGTGAATACGATCACCCTGGATGCCTTAGCCGGCTCTCAGGCAGTACGTACATGTAGCTTCAGCCTAATCAGTTATTCCAAATGGTTGAGCCGATTCTTTGAAACAAGGCCGACACTATGATCAGGCATTCGAGAGTTCTCACGATGATTCGCTGGGATAGGTCACCCACTATTTCAGATAGGCTAGACAGCCGCAAAGTAAACCAACTCACTCAATGTAGATCCTAAGACTTTCGGGGTGCTGATCGCGCAGTAGCTCCAATGAGCATAAACTACTAGTTTACTGTTTGAACGGCTTCAAGTTTGTGAAGAGTTCGAGAGTATCAAACAGGTACCTCTACTCTCCAAAGACATCCGCGAGAGAAACAACTGAGAGCATAACAGCGGGGAACAACGACGCCTGATGTACATTCTGTCTGAAAGCCTAATCGTAAAGGGACAAAAAATGGACCGAGTGTCATCTTACGGAGACTGGACCTCATAATGGTGAGGCGGTTTACGCATCTCTATGACCCAGTGGATTATACTAAGGTTTCTCTTGACATCCACAGTTCCTCGTAACAGGATGGTCAATGAATGAAGGACTGACATCGTCTGCTGGTCCCCCAGGTTGGAAGTTGGAACAAGTACGGCGCCGGCACAACCGGCTACCTTCCGGGCATGCTTTCGAGCCAAAAGTTCTAGCTGAGAACTCTATTCGCTCTTGTCTAGGTGAGGGCGCACAGCGGGTATCCCAACTCCAGCTTACATTTCGAGCTGCCTATACCTCTGGACATTTATTTGGTCAACTTGGTAACGAGAACAATAGTGTAGCGTAGTGTAAAGGTGTAGCGTCTTTGACCAAGCACGGGAATAGACCACACGCGTACGTCAGTTTGGGTGGACTATACCGACTATATCTAGAATTAATAAGCGTCTTTATGCTTTTATCAAGCCAGAGGCCTGTCAGGCCCTTTGTTTGCACCGCTCTAGATCGGACACGGAAAACGCTATTTTCCGTAAACATCGACTCGACAAATGCAAACAGCACCTCACACCCGTTGTCTTATGCATTCGTCACTGAAAGCCCACAAAAACCAGGAGACCATTGTTCCCAAATAACTACAGACGCCTCAGTTTTGCTGTTCACGTCTCTCAAAAGCCAAACCTGTATGAGGTGCAAGCGGTGGACCGATTGTACCTCAACATATTACAAACCTGGATGCAAACTGCATGCCACACGAGATGTTTATCTGAGAGATATCCAATGCAGCTCCCAAGTGTCTTAACCTGTCCTTTTTTTCATAGCACTTGAATTCGGTAAAGCCACACGAGCATGTTTGTCACGCAAGAACGGTTTGGGAGAAATCCGTGTTGAGCTGGAGATATCAGATTGCAAAACCTGGTGCAGCCGTGATTGCGACAAGCATACGAATGCGTGACAACAGACACGCGAAGTTGCATATACGGCCGCGAATTTCGAAGCTGTTTTTTAGTCGATGCGTTCACCACAGCGCAACTTGCAAACAAATCACGACCGTACGCTGGCAGAGCAAGTCTTGAACACTGATATTATGCTGTCGATGATGAGACGTGGAAGTCTCCAACCAAAAAGTTAAACGCGAGTTGAAACTGGCAATATTTGTCAACTCTGCACTCCAACTCTGACTGCGCCGGGATGCATTCACATTGCCTCTAGAACCCCTGGGTTGACATAAACTGCACAAAACCGTAGTGATCACCCCATGGACAGGCATCCACCGAGTTGGGATTCCCTTCCGAAAACAGGTGTCAATCTACTGAGGATTCAGCCGCTAAATCTTGCGTGTTTATTAGGCAACCGAGGAAGAGCTTTCACGAGTTTCATTTAGTGTCGCGTTTGTTTGTACCCGCGGAACCAAAAAAAGGATCCGGAGGAAACCTCCATATGCGGGCGACAACACTGATGGACAGCAAGCTGAGTTGAAACAGATCAGGTATCAAGGCTTTTCAACTAGTCTGCTAAGAGTAGCTGTTTCAGATTTTACTTCAGATTTTAACTCGATCATAGAGGAGCGGTGACCGTCATCACGGCCCGTTCATTCGCGTGAAAAACTTGATGAAATCGTAAGCACCCTTCAAGATGCTCGACCAACTGTTTTCAAATAATTCAACTGGAGCAACAACGAGTATGTTCGAACGAGAACCCGTTTCACAAAACAATGTGCGTGGCCCCACTTACCGTCAGCGAACGGATCCACTCTAGCAGGGGAAATCATAGCTAGCCGACGCCTTGAGCGATATTCATCCTCACGATCAGCGATCGTTGGACGCCGTAGTTCTCCTAGAACCACAAATAGACGTGTAACCATGATGTGGATGAACTTACCTCCGTCGGTCGCCATATTTCTCGATCGCTACCAAAATAGGCGCCACCTGTGATTTGCAAGCAATTTAAACGAACGGTGAGGTAAACTGGAACCAGTTGATAAGTAAGCTGAGGTTCAGTGAACTCAATATATAAGAACGTTTTCAAGAATCCGAAAACAAGATGACTCAGACCAAAGAAGAGTTTGTTTCCGTATGCAACTCAGTTAGGCGGCCGGCACTGACCTTGAAGTGAATAAGCACTTGGAATCTGCGCCTCATACAAATCCACGGAGTGATACGCAATATGTAGCCAGCGGCTAGACGCACACTGCATTTTTCTGTAGAATCCCTGCGGCCGAAATAAAAAATTTAACGTCAAAATGTTGCACTTCTTTGCACATATGCGTGGACTGAAAACCACCCCAATCTGCCGTCATTTTTTGCGATTTGTTTTATTTTAATCGATTTGAAAATTATTGGCGCGCATTCGCCTTTGAATATGAAAGATAACTTTGTGATATTTGTGCGTTCATCCAGTAATCGAATCGAAACCATTATTTTGCGTTACACATTGGTGTACTACAAATGCAACAGGCGCCCTCCAAGACCAACGGGAAGCCGTGGAGTCCGAAGAAGCTAGTAAGCCGAGTGTATTTTTAACAAAAAAGTACGCGAAGCACCAGCTGTCCAGTGCGTTTTTTTCTACGGGGGCAAAGTAACCAACTTTCAGTGACCTCTTATTTTCTGGAACACAACCACAAACCGTCAAAGTTTCTGTACGATCGGCTTCCAGTCAAACAAACATGGTGAGGTCGAGCTACGTAAACCAAAATATAGTTTGTGGTGCAAACACCCAGATGCTCCCAAACTGTCGACACCTACGCTGAAGAATGCACATGCCCTTTCTACCAAACGATGTGGCTCCCATGCATACACATGTTCCCTGCATTTAGAGGTCAGTCCGTTCCGAGCGATAAGACCTATTCATCATTGACTTTTCTTAGCTTGCTTCCCAATCCACCACCCGAGTTTTCGGGTCCAAAGAGGAACTACTCGATAGCCGTGAGTAAATGTCTGACAACTTCCACTAACGTTGTAGAGCGCCAGCTAGATGAACGAGACAAACCTGATTTCATGTGGCTCATCAGCTCCGGACAGTCGGCCTGTAAATGAGGCCCCATGCATTTCATGTAATTCTGGTATTTCTTAAGGGAGCAGGCATGTGAAAGAACCGCTGAAGATGGCATTGTGTGAACAGGCATCTATGACAGCACGAAGGCCTAAGTGCATTTCCGGGTAAGCATTTTTGAGAATTAAGTTTCGCACGTATATCGGAGTAATCAGGCGAACTATAAATCCGAAATTCAGATCAGCGCAACAGGTAGCACTTGTGTTCGAACTGGTGTATATGTGCAGCATACAGAATATTAAAACAAGCGAATAATTAATATAGGAATGAATAGAGTATCAGTCATGTTCATCACATTCGCCACAACTTAAATAAGCGTGTGGATGTTTATAGTCCAATTGTGGGGTCTCGACCGCAATCTTTCGGATCTTCTCGGATTGGAAACTTCAGGCTCTTCGCAGGTAGTGCTTTCTTCAGATACAACGTTTTGTTTGGATACCACAAATCCTCTACAAATGACTCGTTAGTATTTGAATCAGCCGTTAACAGACTGACTTATGGTATTCAACTCAACCTGATCAATGTGTCTCCGACGACAAAAGATATTATCCAAATCGAGAATTG